CATAGAGGGAACTCATTCATTTACTCAGTGTTTAAATTCTGTTGTTGGTAGATTGTGATCTTTAATCCACAAAATGCTTTTCTTTGAATGAATTTGGTTACACCCTGTGTGAATGGACACCTTTTGGCTGGGGTTAAAGATCTTTTTTACCCACATGATAACAATCACGATTGTTTAAAACAAATTCTAAAATAAAATATTTTGTGTTTTTATCATCTTTAAAAGGCAAAAAAAGTGTACATTTTGTTTTGTTTTTCAATTACAAGAATTATATAAGAGGCATTTTGTAAAAGAAATTTGAATTGATATTATTCAACCAGCAATGTTAGAAATTTTCAGACATTTATATTTTGATAACTAAAAAAGAAAGCTAAACACAGAAATAAATATTTGAACATTCTGCTGTAAAATACACTATATGAATAAGAGCCTTTTCTGAATAGCATATAAACTGGATTTAAATATAAATTATACCTTTTTGAAGCTAAAGTTAAATTAATATTTATGCTATTAGGATGACTATTCTTAACTTAAATACTTCAATTTCAATAGAAAGAAAAACAATATTTCAAGTAGTCAAAGAAATTCATTTTTTTTAAGGTTAGGTGATAAAATGTTGCTTTATAAATGCAACTGAACTATAAAAATAAGCTTTTAGCAGAAAACCAGAATACTTTAAATTATATCGACACACAAATTGGAAGCTGCCAAGTTTGTCATGAAAACCACTCCTATATACTACATAAGACATTACATACTTTTTACTGACTTCCAAACACTTAACTATCATTTATATTATAATCTAAAAGTTGGCCATACCAAAGAAAACCTATCAGAGTTCTGGGTCTGCTCTTCTATCTCTATTACTAATATAAATCTATTATGTGAGAACCTATCATTAGATGAAGGAGGGAGGAAGGGAACACAAAATTCTAATAATTTCTTTGTTGAATAAGGGATTTTTCCAAAAAATAGGAGGAGGAAGAAAAGATGAGGCCCTGTATCAAGCTTCTAAGATGAAGGAATGTTTAAGAGTTTAAGTTTTAGTTTTTAGTTAGGTATGTTTCATTTTAAAAGGTAAATTATTTTGTCTGAGAAGCCTATTTTCTGGATACGTCGTAGATAAGAGGAGGAAATAACGAAGCAGCAAAGATGAACATCGCACACACTTAAGAGCTTTGCATAAGGATGGTAGCACTAAAGCCTGAAGAAGTTGGTGTGATCACAGCTCCCGATTTTATTTACCATGGAGCCAGGAGCCAGCACTCCAGCACAAATATAAATGCAAAAATAATAGTACTGGGATTCTCTATTCCTTTTTTACTTCTATGCTGACATTAACTGAATGCCTATAGTTCTAGAACCATCTTCCATGAACTTTTTCTCCATGCAAACTTTAGTTACAATGAATGATACACTGTGAAATCAAATAACCGTAAAATCACAGCAATACAAGCAACCACTCTGTGAAAAATGTTAACTGGCCAAAACTTGATACATACTATTTATTACCTGACTGAAGTCATTATTCTAAAGTCAATGTTTAACAATATCTTCCTAGGTCTTACGTGAACTTACAAAATTTTTATCAACATGACTATTTTTTCATAACTTTATAAATACTAACATGACAAAATTCTTCTTTTAGAAATTTAGCATTAAATCATACACTTCTCTTACAGCCTATTTTGTGAATTAGTATTCAAAGTCTTAAAAATAAAAGATTTTACATCATTTTTGTTTTTCTTCATAGCCTCATTCTATAATTTAGCACAGGGTATGATAACATGAATGTCCTATTGCAAAAATCTAAGTGCCAAATACTGAAGTCCATGAAGTGTTGAGTCAGATGGCCTTTATACAATTTAGTTATATAAAGAATCACTATCAAATACAGAGGTTATAAAACAAAGTGCTTTTAAAAGCCTTTAAAAATGTTCAGAACCAGTACCATAATTTTTGCATAACTGTTGAGTTTATGGGTTTCTGAGACAACAAATTTCAAATGAAGGTGAGGGGATTAGCCAAAGAACATATATGCATAACCCATAGACACAGAAAACAGTGTGGTGATGGCCAGAGGGGAGGGGGAGAGTGCTGGGTAGAGTGGGAAAGGGGGGCAAAATGGGAACATCTGCAATAGGGTCAACAATAAAAATAAAGTTTAAAAAAACATACACAATAAGATCCCACTTCACACCCACGAGGATGGCTATAATAAAAAAAACAGTAACAAGTGTTGACAAGGATGTGAAGAAGTTGGAACCCTCATACATCGCCAATGAAATGTAAAATGGTGCAGTTGCTTTGGAAAACAGTTTGGAAATTTCTCAAAAAGTTAAATGTAAAATTACCATGTGTAACTTTGGTAGGGTATCCTAGGTATACTCTCATGAGAAATTAAAATGTGTCATCACAAAAAAGTCAAACCTGGATGTTCATAGCAACATTGTTCCTAAGAGCCAAAAAGTGTGTAAACAATCCAAATGCCCATCAACTGATGAACGGATAAATTAAGTGTGATATAGCCATACACTGCAATATTACTCAGCCATAAAAAGAAATGAAGTACTGACCCCATGCTACAATATGAATGAACCTTGAACACATCACACTAAATGAAAAAAGCCAGTCATCAAAGGCCATATATTATGATTCTATCTATATTAAATGTCTAGAATAGCCCTATTCAGAGAGGCAGAAAACAGATCAGTGTTTGCCATGGGCTAGAGGAAGGATGTCATGGGAAGTGACTGCTAATGGGGTTTCTTTTGGGGGTGGTGAAAATGTTCTGGAATTAAATAATGGTGATGGTTGCACAACCTTGTAAATATACTAAAAACCACTAAAAGGTACACTTTAAAACAGTGGATTTTATGTGCATTATATTAGACACTGTTCTGAAGCATTGTAAAGTGGAATTTATTCACGGAAAGCAAAGGAACAGTGAAGATCCTAAGATTGTAAAGGGCCTGGGAGAAGCAGAGGGGCTCGCTGTGTACCCACTGCCCAGCCGGCCAATGGCAAGCCATCTGAATGGATGAATGAGGACAGTATTGTTACCTGGTACAGTCTCACTGACGGGCAATTTAGCAATATCTATTAAAAACTAAAAATGCTCACAAAAATGGAATTTTAATTCTTTTAGAATAAAGACACTAGCTTTCTATTTAGTTTTCACAAAAATATACTGTGTCTCTGAACAAGGCCATATACACCATATGCTAGTGATATAATTTGGATAATACTGACCAGATTTATTTCTATTCAAAAATAAAGAACATCTATATATGAGAACAAACAATGCATCTTGCAGTGAATCAGAATCTAGTAAAAAATAGAAATAAAGTACAGATAGAAGGAAAACAAAAAAAAGAAGGAACAAAGGGTAAAGGAGGATCAGTAAATATTTTTAAACAGTATTCAAGAGGCAGAAAAAGAAAAAAAATAGTAAAACATCCAAATGAGGATATTTAAGTAAAGATAAATCCTGGAATAAATAATTCTCAAATTCAAATATTGAAGTATTAACATTAAAATTTTGCAAATTTTTGTCTGTTGACAAAAAGCGTCCAATACAATTATTGCTTAAACACACACACACACACATAAACTCACATTTAGGCAAATCTACATGGAGACTAGTTTGGGAAGAAGTATTAAAAAGACAATCTATTCACTTTGCATAGTTTTGTAAAGAAACGTTTATCAAAATTTTTGAATAAATGAAAATTCATAATTATATCAAATTGTACATTTCTAAGTTGCCTAATACTCAAACAATAATTTGAGTATGAATTCAGATTCAAAGAGAATCACATTCCTTTTCACATACATATTTTAAGTTATACATATTTTATCCCATATGCACCAAATACATTAGAAACTTGTAGACCCCAACTTTAAACTTCTCACAAAGCAAGTCAGATGGATATCTCAAAAATCCTTTCACCTGGGTGAGTTGTCAGTGAAAATTCATCGCACTTTAAAATAATGCAACGTTCTGGTTCAACTTTAAGCTTTCTGATGTCACAAAACATGAGGCCTTCTATGACAATTTTTTTTCCTTCTGCCCAGACTTAGCGGAACAAGAACAAGCAGGCTTTTGAATCAGTGCTGCACTTGAAGTATTTGCTTGCTTGGGAGATTTATACCGACTGTAGTTTGGCTCTCTTATGATGTAATTCCTGGGCTATAAGCTTCTACAAACTGACAGAAATAACAGGAGATGTGAAAAATGCAACAATACTAAAAACAGATGTTGGTGTAAAATTCCAGAACCATTTATTTGCTCATTTTGCCTTTTAATGTACAATTTCCATGCTGAAAACAAAGCGATTTTTTTAAACTTTTAAAATACCTTAAATATTTAGAAGAGATGAAGTAGAAAATTTAGGGGATGGGGACTTAGGAGAGGTGGGAAATAAAGAGAAGCTGAGAGAAAGGTGGGTTGAAAGAAAAACAAAAGCACCTAAATCCACACTATCTTTTTCAGTAATTCGACGTCAATTTTTTTTCCCTTACTCTTGTTTTCTTTTCATCTAGTCTGGTAATAACTCCAAACAGACAAGTTAAAGGTCAGAGTTACTATGATTTCTGGATAAGCAAGAGGAAGAACAATTAATTGTTCTTAGGCGCAACTGCTTTTGTGTCCAAGAATGTGGTGAATTTTTCCCCTTAATCTTTACCAAGAAATATCTTACCCAAACCTCCTGGCTTTGGAGAAATAAAATACCTAAATTCAGAAATCAAAGAGAGCAGTAGCTATTAGCCCTTTTCTTAAAGAGTCATGGGTTTATTACAAATAATTCCTAACACCCCTTTCTTCAGAAGATTCAGTTTAATCTTCTGAATTTCTTATTTGTTTGGTTCCTGTAAAATGATGATCCAAAAACTATCACAAGGTAATATGACCTGTTGTTCTACCACAAATACCTGCTTTAATAGTAAAAAATAAACACCAAGATTTGGTTACTCTGCATTCTTATTAACAAACTTACATGATTTCCTGTTGGAAACATTGAGGGGCTGAACTATTATTTCTGGTCGTCTCAGAGCCAACCTCCTGGGGGAAAAGAAGGTCAATATGCCTATCAATTTTCAGTACAGAGCCAAGATTAATACACCATCAAAATATTAAAAGTCTTAAGAAAAAGCTGGAAACTTAGGGGGAAAATGAACACAATGCAATCTATTCAAATTAAGAAGTGAATCCTCTACTTTCAAAATTTTATAAATTATCCCCGCTCCAAAATCACTCTTCTTTTTGCCATCTTTCACATTAATACAGTTTCAGATATTAATGTGCTATTTTCCATTTGCTTCATAACAAAAACCAAATACGACCTGGTGCTGTCATATTATTTTTGGTCATTACTCATACTTAGCTAGACAAAACAGAAACCCAAACCTGAGGGATAAAGGACTCTAAGGCAAGGTTTTACTGCTTATTTTATCACAACTATGCTTGATGATATTTTTCAGAGAACAAAAGGTCAGTTGAAGGAAGGCCATCATTACGTGCCAGTAGCTCACCTTTCCTGGAAGTGCTTCGAAGGAATCAAGCCTGCCCTGGGATTGGCATCACCTTCATGCTTCGCTTGCCACCACATTGCATCATCTTGGCTCATAATCTGAAGAATATCTCCCTTTTTGAAAGAAAGCCCAGCTTCCTTACATGGAATTGCTTTATCCTCATTAGGGTCATAGTCAAAGAGGGCTTTGATAAACATCTGGAAGAAAGTTTTATTGAAAATGAATAAATATAAAAAAAATATCAAATGGCCAACATTCTTCTAACTCTGATTTAGGAACAATTAAAGAAATATTAAAATAAACTTGTCATGACAGAGAAGACATGTATTAGATGAAAATCACATTAGCCGCCCCCCGCCCCGCAAGAAAGATTTTAAAGTAATGATTACCTTGCCTTCTTTAGATGGTGTTTCCTCTTTGATGCTGGGTATGATCTTAAATGTAATTGCTCCCTGAGACTGAGCCTGATATCAGAGGAAAGAAAGAGTTATAAAAAAACCTCTAGAGCCAAGAAGAAAGAAGAAAAAATAGGTAGAAAGCTAAATGCATCTGAAAATTTACAAGCTTGGGGTTTCTATCTTAGATAGATCAAACTGAGAAAACTATTTCAGTAGAAATTCCTGTAACATGAGAAAGCACTAAAGTTTGTCAAATAAGTTAAAAAATATCAACCACTAAACCCTCTTTTACCTCCTGTGCACTTTTAAAATGCCGATGAATATATTAACATCCATGTTGAGCTACTTATACACGATGCTGACTCCAGACAATAATAAACGTGGTAGAGAACAGACAATGTGCAAGGTTCAGACTATTACATTTAGGTGTCAGCACCCATGTTTTTAGAACCTAAATACCTACACTGTCAGTAATGAGATTATAAAGTTATGATTCAATTAGTTGCAATACCATCAGAAAAAAATAATAAAGAACATTCATCTCTATTATATTCTGGTTAGCGAGCAAAATACCAAATGTAATAGATTAAAGGATGACAATATTGAGTAAGTATTTAAATTTAATTAAAACAAGCAATAATACTCAAAAGTCTTTGCTGACTATCTCAGCAAAGAGATAAACTCTCATGTCATTCTCTGTCTCCTGTTTTAGCATTTATCATAACTGTATCTAAATAATTATTTATACAATTATTAATATCTGTTATCTCTAACTGTAAATTCCATAAAAGCAGGAACTATCTAAAGCATATTTAAGAGGAATGAGGAAGAGAAGAAAAGAGGAAGACAGGGAGACAAGCAGAGCGGGGGAAGGAGGCAGAGGAGAGAGAAGGGAAAACAACTGGATCTCTCTGAGGCTCATTGTCAGTGGTGTACTGGTAAACCAGGACTGTGTTTTATAAAAAAGGCCCTGATTAATTTTGTTTGACAAATTTCGTGGAATAAATAGCCCCTCCATAGTCAATTGCAATTTACCAGTGTGCAATCACTGACAGACATGCTGGAAAGAGTTGCATAGAATCAGCTCTCGCGAGCCTGAAGAAGAGCTCCAGTACAGCACAGAGACTCAAGCAAAATGGGATCTTAACAGTATAAATATTGTAATTTATGAAAGGGCAACTTCAAAATGATAATATCACTGTTACTGCTTATCATAAAAGTAATTCACAAATCTTATTAAGAAATTCATATAATACTGAATTGCATAGGTAGAGAGAAAGCAAAAGTCTTCTCTGTCATTCCTTCCCATTCTTCTAGTTTGTGTTTTAATGTATGTAAAGCCTTTAGAACAATCCCATTTAGGGCTCACTCAATATAAGCAATTATTAGTTTTACCATTATTATTAAGTAATATAGGTCTACCAGCCATTGTGATTGCTTCACAGTAACTTATCATGTAGCTAAATATTTATTCAATCAACGCAACCTTCTTAATAGTTTCTAAATATTCTGAAAACCATCTTGTTTTTGCACATTTGCCAAATTAGTTCCTTGGGGTTAATTTCCAACAGCTACATTTCTTGATTAAAGGGTATGTAAATTTAGGTTCAAATTTTTTAATTTTTTTTTTGCTGCCTTTTGCTTGTTTACTTATTTACTTTTTGTGCTGTCAGGAAAACATCCAATCCTTCAGTGCTATGTAGAGAGAATTCCCATGGGTGCTTTGTACTTATAAGTTGAAAACAAGAAGTGAGCTCGCACTGACTTGCAATGGCATGGTACAGGCTCAAATAATGCACTTGCATTTTGTAAGACTAGACCTACGCATAAGAAAATGACAGGCCTGGATGAAGGGAAACAAGCATTAGTTATGACAGTGAGATCACTGCAGTGGGAAAGACCCAGGACTATTCTAGCAGCTTCAGCTCTGACAGTGCAGTGAGGATGTATCCTTGCGTTTATTTAGGGACCCCATTGCTGTCATTTTTTAATTCCTGATGCTTATGACCGAAGGGATGGCTGTTCCTTCTGAACTGCTTCAGGTTCTTCGGGAACTGAGTGGTCCTGACGGTTGGCCTGTACAGTGGCTAGGGTTCTTGGACAAAGGTGTGCTGTTTATGGGTAACTGGTATGCTGCAAAGTTCCCGGAAAATTCACCTCATCTGTTCGGCATTATGTGCTAAAAGGCCAAGCCTGTGATAGCTTTAAGTTGCTTCATTAGCCCTTCCAATGAGTAGCTGAGGGCTGCATGCAGTTGCTCCCAGCCATGGACTGGACTTACAGCTAAACTACCAAGCAACTGAAGTGTAGCTGGTCTAAAATATTACATTTAAGGAGCACTGAAGAAGCCAGGTAGAGACTGGTAAGAGTGGAGATGCAGAAAGGGAAAGCCCTTTCTGCAGGGGCAGGTGCTGAGACGCTTGAGAGCTGAGAGGTCCAAGGGATATGGTGGCTGCAAAGCTCCCTCCACCTGGGAGTGTGAGATCTCAACTCCATGTAGGGATCCCCAACACAGAGCAAGAGAGACAGTAAGAAGAGCCAACATAGCATCAGGTAGAGGGAATCAGGGAGATTGTTTGCCTGGGAGACTTGGGCTGCATCTTCCCAGTGAAGGAGCACTCCTATTATTAGCAGCCCCAGTCTGAACTTTGCTCCAGATTCCAACTGCTGGAGGGGCTGCACAGCTGTATTTGGCTCCAACAGAGGAATCTGAGGGCTGTACCCATCAGTGACTTTGAAGGACCCTCTACTTTCCGGAAAGGCACTGGGAAGAACCACAGTCAGTGACTAAACTGTGTAGCTTGAGATAAAAGGAAGAGTCTCTCTCACCTGAATGCAAAGTCGGAGCCCCTCCTCCCACCTGTGGAGCTGCCCAGACTCCCCTATCAAGCTGGGTTGGCCACATAGCAAGGGAGTGGCACAGGTCTAAGATTATTGACCCATATTGTGAGGTTTGGACCCCGAGTGGAGCTGGGAATTTTGGCCCTTTAGTTGAGACCAGACACATGGAGAGATTAGAGTCCTGCACAGGGCTGATTTTCGGAGCCCCTCCTGCTTGGTTGGATGGTGTGATGACACGGGTGCCACACAGCGCTGGGACTGTTGAATGGTGTGTCTGAGGGCGGCTTCTGTCAGGGACACAGATGGGAGAGTGCTAAGCTCTGTGATTGCATTGTGGAGAGGCAGATTCTGAGCTTCCTATGGCTTCCATGGCACAGCCCCAGGAAAAAAACATAGTGGCCATCCCCCATTCCTGCAGGCTGAGGGAACAACCCCCAAGAGAAGAATGTTTCGTTCAGCCCTGTGAAGTCTCAGATATCCCTGCTGGGTGCAGTTCTGTGGAGGACAGAAGGGCCCCTCGGAGCAGGACATTCCAATTGTGAGACCCTACTGTCTGGGACTGGGAGGAAGTGCTTAGCCCCCTCCGGCTGGCTGGACCGGCAACAACCTCAAGAGGAGATTCTTTTGATCTATTGCCCTGAGCCCAGGGTGACCGAACCTGCTCTTGCAGAAGAGATGCAGGCTGCACCCAACATGGACCTGCAGCAAACCCCCTTAATGGGAACTAGAGTTGGAGATTCTGGAAGAGATTGAGGAGTTTGGCTTTGAAGCAGGGACCAATTTCACTTCACTGAGTGCCTAATTGCATAATCCCCAAACAGGCGGAAGGTCCACTATTCCAAGCTAGGCTAGCCTGGGTCCATCCTATAGACTCTCTTTGCAAGGCTCTGGAGGAAGACCAGGCAACCTCAGGAGGAAGGCAGAGTAGCTGACATAGGAGGATACTCAAGGAGCCTCAGTCTGACCACAAATCTGCCCTCAGCCCTAAGCTGGAAGAAGCCAACACACATACACAGATTGGTCCCCCCCCCACACACACACAGGTCTAATAGACACAGATACAAACAATGAACAGAGTGGCAGATTCAGATAGGTAGGCCAAAGCCAGTTACACACAAAGTCTGATGGTAACCTGCAACTGAAATCTACCAAAGAGGACCTGGAACCAATATAACAAGTGGTGGGCCTCAGACCACGCCAGAGCTCAATCAAACTAGACACACAAACGGCACACAAGAAAGGGGCACCCCAACAGGCTCTACACCCTGCTGGGAACAACCATGCCTAGGGGGCAGCCCCTACACAGTCTCATATATGGTGATCAAGGTTTACTTCTACAGACACTCAGCCTAAAGAGTTAAAAATTGTGCCACTGAGACAAACACACAAAAAGACAGCCACAATGAGGAGACAAAGAATCAGACCCCAAATGAAAGAACAGGAGGAGTCTACAGAAAAAGAGCTAAATGAAATGGAGGCAAGCAATTTATCAGAAACAGGTTTCAAAGTAATTGTTATAAGGATGCTCAAAAGCATGAAAAAGGACATAGAAACCATGAACAAGAACCAGTTGGAAATAAAGAATACCATATCTGCCATTAAGAATATAGTGAAAGGAATAACCAGCAGTCTGAACAAAGAAGAGGACTGAATCAGCGAATTAGAAGACAAGATAGAATCACTCAATCAGAGCAGAAAAAAGAAAAAATAATTAAAAAGCAGGAGGATAGTTTAAGGGAAATTAGTGACATTATGAAATGTAACAACACCTGCATCATAGGGGTACCAGAAGGGAAGAAAGCGAGCAAGAGATAGAGAACCTGTTTGAAAAAATATTGACAGAAAACTTCCCTATCATGGTGAAGGAAAAGTTATACAAGTTCTGGAAGCACAGAGAGTCCCAATCGAGATGAAGAGAAAGAGACCTACACCAAGACACATCATAATTAAAATAGTAAACATTAAAGAGAAAGAGAGTATCTTAAGGTCAGCAAGTGAGAGACAGTCAGTTACCTATAAGGAAGCTCCAATAAAGAAGTCAGCTGGTTTCTCTACAGAAACACTACAGGCCAGAAGGCTATGGCATGAAGTATTCAAAATAATGAGAAGCCAGGTTCTGAAATCAAGACTACTCTATCCAGCAAGGCTGTCATTCAAAATTGAAGGTGAAATAATTAGCTCCCC